ATTACTATCATCACTATATTAGTTCATTCAGCCTACACAACAGGTTCTAGCTGCTGCATGGCTACACATACTCATGCAACTGTTTGTAGTATTATTTTTCATTACCTTATGTGCTCTAACAACCTTGGGTCGTGATCTTACTGAGATTAAAGACAGAATGAGGATGAACGGGTCCAAGTGCACCCATTCTCCATCTTTCCACTCCACTCTCTAACGGAACTAGATACTCACTCTACTATCGAAAGCAGTGATTGTGGAGTCCTAGAGTAAGGGGAAAGGAGTCAGGCGGGTGGGAGCAGGGTACAGCAAGAAGAAAAAGCAGATAAGGTATAAGTCTGCCTTTCTTCCTGGTCCAAGAAACATAGCCCTCCTGCACAAATAACTCACAATCTTCCTGCACTCAACTTATCACCAGACTCTTGGCTGACAGAAAAATGCAAGTTAGCTCACTGCAGCCTTGGCCTTATCAATACTGCACATAGCCCTCTGCAGCACACAGCACAAGTATCATCCTATAAAATTCCCAGCAAGCCTGTCTCCTGGCAGTCAGCTTCTCTCCTGCTGATCTGCCCACTGCACTTGCAACCAACCCACTTCCACACTTTCTCTAATAAATCTGCCTTTCTTTACCTACAATTACCTTGGTAAATTCCTTTACTGCCTGCAACACTAGCCCCAGCTTAGTTGTGACCTATGACAGTGAGGATGAACACAAGAAAACACACTATGGGCACGGTTCCGCTTTTCAGCACTTGGTTGACAGGAGGCTGATAAACTGCCTAATTGTGCTCTGCTTCCTTTAGATGAATACTGCTGCTGCCTCTTAAAACTTCATTTGAGACCACATAATTATGAATTTTTATCAAATTTTGTCCAACTCAAACAAAATGTGTTATCTTCACTGATCACACATCCAAATGCCTTTATATCTGTACATAGCATATTTATGCCAGTTTTGCTGTAGATGGAGTTGGCTGGGCATGGTGGCTCACATCTGTAATCCCAGCACTTCAGGAGGCTGGGATTACACTTTGGGAAGCTGAGACAGGTGAATCACTTGACGTCAGGAGTTTGAGACCAGCCTGGACAACATAGTGAAACCCTATCTCTACTAAAAAATACAAAAATTAGCTGGGCATAGTGGTGCACACCTGTAATCCCAGCAACTAGGGGGGCTGAGGTAGGAGAATCGCTTGAAACCAGGTGGCAGGTTGCAGTGAGCCAAGATCGAGCCACTGCACTACAGCCTGGGCAACAGAGGGAGACTACATCTAAAAAAAAAAAAGGTAGAAAAAGTAGGTAGAATCATAAAGCATCTACCAAGTACATGCCTCTTTAAAGACATCATTTAAGTAAAAGCTGCAGTTCTACTTTTATGGAATTTTTATTTTAAAATATGGTATCTGGGCTGGGCGCAGTGGCTTATGCCTATAATCTTAGCACTTTGGGAGGCCAAGGCAGCAGAATCACTTGAGCTCAGGAGTTTGAGAGACCAGCCTGGAAAACATAGTAAGAACTCATCTCTATTTAAATTAAAAAAAAAAAAAAAAAAAGAGCCAGGTACAATGGTGCATGCCTGCAGTCTCAGCTACTCAGAGGGCTGAGGCAGGAAGATCGCTTGAGCCCTGAAGTTCTGGGCTGTAGTATGCTATGCCCATCAGGTGTCCACACTAAATTCAGCATGAATATGGTGACCTCCCAGGAGTGAGGGACCACCAGGTTGCCTAATCAGGGGTGAACTGGCCCAGGTTGGAAACAGCAGGTCAAAACTCCCATGCTTATCAGTAGTAGGATCATGTCTGTGAAAAGTCAATGCGCTCCAGCCTGGGCAACACAGTGAGCCCCCGTCATTTAAAAAAAAAAAGCATGCATGAAATCCACTTCTCTGCTAACTTCTAAAAAATTAGTCTTAGTTGTTTTCTTTCTCTTTGCCAGAGAAAGCAGAATCTAATTTTAAAATTTAAAAGTACTATGTGGCTTCATATAACATACTTTGTCTACTGCTAATTCTCCTCAACTTGATATAAGCATGTAATAGGATATTAAAAGAGTATGGTAAAAGTAAAGAATACCTCAACTTAAAAAACTAATTTGGATTAGGTTTCTCCAAGTATACTTTTAAAACATTATTTTGACTTCTACACCTATGTATATACTTTACACATTCAAAAATAAAATAAAATCCTAAGGAAAAACTGAAACCTATGAACCATATCAAATTGGTAGCACAACCAGAGAAAAGTATTTTAAGTGACTTTTGAACACAGTACTCATTATACATTCTTCATGCAATATATTCTAAATATGAAAATAAATGCAAAAAATCTTAAACTTTATTAAGCTTGTTGATATTAGTAATACCAGCACTGTAATTTTAAAATGATTTTATGTATACAGTGGGAGAAAGCAAATACATTTATTAATTTTTTTTTTGAGACAGGGTCTCTCTGTCATCCAGGCTGGAGGGCAGTGGCTTGAACATGGCTCACTGCAGCCTCAACCGGGGCTCAAGCGATCCACCTGCTTCAGCCTCCTGCGCAGCTGGGAACACAGGCACACACGAACATGCCTGGCTAATTTTTTTATTTTTTGTACAAATGGGGTCTCATCATGTTGCCCAGACTGGCCTTGAACTCCTGGGCTCAAGCAATCCTTCCACCTCAGCCTTTCAAAGTCCAGAGATTACAGGCATGAGCCACCATGCTTAGCCGGTTTATTAATTGTATTAAATTACCAAGATTTTCATTTAAGACAACAGACAAATACAGAGTCAAGGAAGAAAAAGTCTGCTTGCTAAATAGGAATTGGAATATCACTCTGAACTCATGATTAAACAAGCAAAAAACTTTTTAATTCTCTCCTTTCAAAGTACCTAGAAGCAATGATATTGCAGCAGTAATGAATATGCCAAACATCCAGAACTTGGTTTCTATATACAATTTCTCACCAAGACTCCTTGGATAAATAGCCCTTCCCAGAGGTGAGGAAACAAAGCATAAGGTAAACCTGGAGTATTTTGTGTTAGAAAGCACTCCAAGATTAATTGGGAGCAGGGGTGTCAAAACACACCAGTCAGCTTGAAATGATTCCTACTGACCAAATCTGGGACAATTTGGCCATTAAAAAGAAAAACGACTGTAACTGGTTATAAAACAAGGAGTAAATTAAAACCCATGACAGTCCGTAGTGGCATTATTCACCCCTCCCCGAAAAAACATCTTATTTGCCATCATTGGGGGGTGACTACTTCTCCAGCTCTTTACTACGAATATTGAAAAGCAAAGAGAAGAAATTTAACATTTAATTTGCATTTTGGGGAAGAACAATAGTTTACCTGCACTTAATGAAGGAAATCTCTTTCTTAGAGAGAACCTCCAATAAAATAACTGATTTAAGCAACATTCGTCATGGGCACTAAAAATCACTATGCAAAAGATTGTCAGAAACTGGGTATTTGCTTAGTGTCCATGTATTACCCCAAGATTACATATTAATCGCAAACTGGCAAACCACACCTTTACAACAGGTCAGTAGTCAGGACTTTATATTATAATCAAATGGTTACATTTAGCATCATTAATAGTGTGGAAATCTGACATTATGTGCCTCCTACATTACACAATAGGAGGTACACAGCATCACCTATTAAATATTCTTGCCAAGGAAAGTTTTATTTTAAGCTAATTAAGCCTTCCTTTACACCTAACGTCCAATTAATAGGAAATTTAGGGAGAAAGAGGAATAAATGAAATGACATTAGGAGGGCACAAATCCAGAATGTGGGTATATTCTACAAGGCAACTGCTTTGGTCAATCAGGTGTCAGAAAAAAAAGGGAAGGAGGGGACATTCATCCTATTTAACTTTCCCAGCAAAAAGGAGGGGGGATGGATACTATTCTTTTTACAAAAGAAACTAAAGACTTAATTACCAAATGCAATCAATGCATGAATATTGACTGACTACAGCTGGGGGAGGAACCCTCAAAGACACTTTGGAACAACTGAGAAATTCTGAATAAGGAGTTGTTGATTTTGACAGGTATTAATAATGATACTGGGGTTAGCAGGAGAATGTCCCTATTCTTAGGAAATACATGCTGAAACATTTGAGGATTATGGTTTCAAATAATTACACACATACAGAGAAAGAAGGGAAACAATATGGCAAAAATGCTAATCACTGAATCGGATATTCATTGCATTGATTAGCATTTTTATTCACTGCATGAATAACCAATCGCAATTGCATAGAATCAACCTCTGTAAGACTGAAATTCTTCGTAACAAAGTTAATAAAATCGTACTTCCACTGAGAAGTACAGAAGAAAGTATACGAAAGTATACCTATACCGGAATTATATTTGGGTTGAAATCTAAACTATCTTACTAGTTGTGTGCCCTAAGGCAAGTTATAATTCTTAGGATCACTACGTTTGTCACTTCTGTAAAATTCAAGTAATAACACTTGCATCATTAGGTTCTGAGAATTAAGTGATTACAAATGCAAAAAATGCCAAGCAGTACTGCAGAGAATAAACATGGTTTTCGTAATCAATATATTAGTACTAATCCTGAAATACAAAACTACAGGACACTGTTCATTATATTCACACTCTATAAGGGGAAACTACATTAGATAAAATTATTATTAGTCCACTGGCAGTCCAAGTGAAGTAATGGGGGAAATGAAGATTTATACAGTATTTTTTAAACCCAAGAATTCCAACTGAACACCTAGAGAAAAGGAAATCAAAACCGTGCAGCCTGCTTCCGGTATTAGCCTATCTCCAAACAAAACATTAAGAAAATAAGTGGAAGTTATAGAGAATTTCTTCCTGACTTCAAGAGATCTACTTACATGCTAAAAATGAAATTAAGTTTTTGTCTTCATTTCTCTAAGTTCCAAAAAAAGCACACAATTACGGGGTTTTATTCTAAATTCTGCTGGGAGTCCTAGAATTCACATGGACGCAATTTCCTTTAATCAGTTCTAACGTACCTGTCATTTCTCGAGGTAACCCCTTTCTCTGATTAGGCCAGCAATAAAACGACTAGATGCAGAGTGATCCTCAGGAAGGAAAGAAAAAGAGGTGTTTGCGTACACACACACACATACACACATATATATTTTTAAAGAAGTGCCATCTTTCTCTTTCCTGTACCAGAGGAAAAGCAGAAAGGCAAAGGAGGAAAAAAAAACCAGGTCTGAGCCTCCCGGGTTCGACCAGGTGAAAGGTGGCAACACCTCCGGCCGCTCCGGGTGAGGCTGTTGGGCAAACGGGCATGCAAAGGACGGGCAGCTCCCAGGAAGGTCGGGGGAACTGCTCCGGGACCGCGCGGCCCAAGGCCGGTCTCCTCCCTGAAGGATTAAATGCCACCGAGGGGATCCCGCGGGGTGTCTCCCGGCGCGGACGAGGGTGACAGACCCGGCTCTCCGCTCCCTGCGGAGCCAGGTGGGGCCCACGCGGTGTCAGCCCCGGGCGGCGTGCAGGGGCCGCCCCCCGCGCGGCCGGAGCCCGCCCTCTCCTCCCCGTTACCTGCGGGCGGCGGCGCCGGGCCCGGCGGCCTGCTGCTCCTCCTCCTTCTCCCGCCAGGCTGGGGCGGCGAGGCGGCGGCGGCGACGGCCCGGGGGGAGGGGGCGGAGCGCGCGGCTCGCCGCCTCTCTCCTCCCCCGGGAGGCTCAGGGGCCCCTATCTCGGGCCACCGCGCCTAGGCCCGTGAGCAGCCTGTGGCTGAGGCATGGCGGCACAGCCCACCGGCGTGCCTGCGAAGTAGGAGTGCGAGGCGGCTGGGAGGATGGCACCCCTGGCGCTCGGAGGGGCCCGAGGGGAGGAGCGAGGGCGCCTGGGAGCCGCGCGCGGGCGGCCGTTGGGGACGGTTGGCCGAGCGCAGGCGGTTGTTTGGGGAGCGCGGCGACGGCTCGCGTGTTCCCGGCGGGGCGGGGTGGGGAAGGGGAAGGGGACTGAGGGGAGGGGAGGGGGAGGTTGGGAGGGAGCCGCCGCCGCGCGCGTGCGGGCCGGAGCCGCCGCCGTTGCCGCTCCGCTCACTCCAGCCTGTTTGGGGGCACTTTGTTTGTGTCCCACAATGCTCTGCGCGGGCGGCCTGGCTGGGGCGGGAGGGGTGGGGCGGGGCACAGCGAGCTCGGGGGCGGGACTCGGGGCGGGGAAGGAAACGTGATGATTGCGCAAGCGCAGAAAATGGGCCCTCCTGGCCGTCGGGACTTGCACGGTGGGTGACTCCGTCTCCTTAGACGGTAGAGCCCTCGTGACGCAGAAGGGCCGTGGATCTGGACACAGTATTTTTGCGTATGTGCGCACAGGTGCAGATTTTCGTGTACCCCCACAAGCCCTGTCCCATGTGTCCTTCCTCTAAGCCGTCCTCCCATCCAGCGCCCCTCTCACACCTGGGAAGCGTTTCTCCGCAGGAGTCACACTTCCAGCAGTTCTTTTTTCCTTCGAACTAAAAACATAACTCCCATTTTCTCGGGTAGTTTCTGTAGCCAGGGCGAAGTCGAAACACTTCAGCCCCCCTTCGGCGAGGGAGGTCAGTTGGTAATTGCCCATTGTTCACCCAGGGAAACAGGCCTGCCAAGGGCCGCCCCGCAGGCGGGGGAGCCGGTGTCCTGGTCCTGGGCGGACAGCGACCTGCGGCGGGTGTCTGGAGTGTGTGGCTCCTCGGACCTCCTCGCAGGGCTTGCTTTTTGCCGTTTAGGACTTGCCTAGGTGACCCTGGCAGGGCGCGCGGCTCTGAGATGAGTGGAGAAATGGACTCCCAGGTCCCTCTCGTTCCTCCAACACAGGGACACCCAGAGCTGCTCCAAAAATAGACCTTACTTCTTCCACAACCGTGAATCTGTCGTGTTTGCTTCACCATCACTTCCCTGGCCTTCCCGGAGGAAGTGTGCGGGCCACCTCAAAGTAACCGGTATGCCCGATGTGTTTTGCAACTCTTGGTCAACTGCAAAATCAATCAACCTAGGCGTGAGTCTTGGCTTCCCTGACCAGGCTGGCGAGCGCGCTCCCACCGCCCCCGGTGGTCACGGGGGCGCCCGGGGCTGCAGGCGGCAGCGCCCCAGCTGCCTGGGGCGGGCGGGGTGAGGGCAGGTGCTTCTTGGGCGCTCTGCGTTTTCCCACGCCTCCAGCTTGCAAACCGAAAGACTTCTTTCCAGAGGATTTTGTGCAAGGGGGACGGACGTCCCCCGAAGTAGAGTGGATTTTTCTTCTGAAACACTTGGCAACGTCTCATAATAATTCACTCTTTGAGAGACAAACGGCCAAGCACCTGAGCACCCTAATTCTGCCACTTGAAATCTTGAGGAAAAAAGGCGTAAAAACAACTTCTGTTTTTATAGTCCTTTGCAGTTTCCAACAAGTTTTCAAGTATGTTATTTAATCCTCACAGCAACTGTAATTCACAGGTTTTATCACAGGTTTTTATTATTATTCCCACTATCATTTTTATTATTCCCATTTCAGAGATGAGAAAAATCAGAAAGATGCAAATTAGGCCCAGAAACTTTTGCACTAAGATTTGAAGAGGGGAAGGGAAAGAAGGCGGAATGCTTACCCGGGAGAGGACTGGTGGCCACAGAGCGAGACTCAGGAAAGGGCAGGAGCTAGAGCCCTGGTGAGGGGTGTGTGAGAGTGTTTGTAGGTGGAAGGCAACTGGGAAAGAATCAGGATGGAATGAAATAGTCAAATAAATCCTATCTACCTCTCCGAGTGCCTTTAACAGGATAGTCAGTCGATAAAAGACCATGAGTCTTTAGTCAGTGTTTCTCCAGGGACTGTGGTGGCAGCTCCCCAACTACCACAATGACACAAAAATTTTCTTTCCTTTGTAGTACAACTTGAAGTCAGGTAGAGGAATGCCTCTAGCTTGGTTATTTTTGCTCGGAATTGCCCTAGCTTTTCAGGGTCTTTCGTAGTTCTATACAAATCTTAGGATTGCTTTTTCTAATTCTGTGATGAGTGTCACTGATATTTTGGTAGGGATTGCACTATACCTGTAGGTGGCTTTGGTTAGTATGGATATTTTAACAATATTAATTCTTTCAATCCATGAGCATATCTTTGCATTTTTTTTTGGTTCTCTTATATTTCTTTCATCAATGTTTATATTTTTCCGTGTAGAGATTTTTCACTTCTTTGCTTAAATTTATTCCTAGGTATTTTATTTTGCTTTTTTGTAGCTATTGTCAATGAGATTGTTTTCTTGATTTCCTTTTCGGATTGATGGCTGTTAGCTTCTGGAAAATCAGCTGATTTTTGTATCCTGCAACTTAACTGAATTTGTTCATCAAAGTTCTGAGAGATGGATTCTTTAGGTTTTTCTAAATATAAGATCATGTCATCTGCAAACGAATAATTTGACGTCTTCCTTTCCAATTTAGTTGCCCTTTATTTCTTTCTCTTTCCAATTGCTGTGGTGAGGACTTCCAGAACTATGCTGAATAGTAGTGGTGAAAGTGGGTATCTTTGTCTTGTTCCAGATCTTAGTGAAAAGGCTTTCAATGTTTTCCTGTTCAGTGTGATATTAGCTGTGGGTTTGTCATACATGGCTTTTATCATTTAAAAACTTTTTTCCCTTAGATTATTCTCTTGTCTCCTGTGCTTTTCCCACTTAAAAAAATTTTTTTTGGGGGAGACAGGCTCTTACTGTTTTGTCCAAGAATGCAGTGGTGCAGTCATAGCTGCATATAGCCACAAACTCCTGGCACAAGCATTCTCTGGCTTTAGCCTTCCAAATAGCTAGGACTACAAATGTGCCACCATGCCTGGCTAATTTTAAAAATTTTTTGTAGAGCTGGGTTTTGCTATGTGAACTCAGGCTCAAGAGATTCTCCTGATTGCAGGCGTAAGCCACCATGCCTGAGTTTCTGTTTCCTTCTTTTCTTTCTTTTTTTTTTTTTTTTGAGACGGAGTTTCGCTCTTGTTACCCAGGCTGGAGTGCAATGGCGCGATCTCGGCTCACCGCAACCTCCGCCTCCTGGGTTCAGGCAATTCTCCTGCCTCAGCCTCCTGAGTAGCTGGGATTACAGGCACGCACCACCATGCCCAGCTAATTTTTTGTATTTTTAGTAGAGACGGGGTTTCACCATGTTGACCAGGATGGTCTCGATCTCTTGACCTCGTGATCCATCCGCCTCGGCCTCCCAAAGTGCTGGGATTACAGGCTTGAGCCACCGCGCCCGGCCTTCTTTTCTATTTCTCATTTAACATTGAAATGTTTTATCATCCTTCCACTCCACCCCCACCTCATGTCTGAAGACTTTATTAACTAACAAATGACTTAAGGGCTCAGTGCCAGATGCTTGGAGAGGGTGTGAGAAAAAATACAAAGAAGATTAACTTTGCAGGAGCCCTCTTGTCTGTTTTGGCTCTGGGCAGGGTCAGTTTCTGTGGCTTCTGCAGCCTCCCACCTTTTTCCTTCTTGAGCTGGTAGAGACTTGCCTATGGGTTGCTGGAATATATACACCTTTCTTTGACACTAGGTTAAATAATACTGCTGGGAGGATTTTATGAAATCAGAATCCTGTACACAGGTGAAACAAACAAATGTAGACAGTATGAGGAACCTTTAATTATTAACCTGGTGTGGATGATTCTGAGGAATTCAAATTCCAGGCAAATTCCAGGAGTTATATTTCAGCCACGAGCTGTTTAGGGGACTAAATTCTGGCAAAAGATGGTACTTCTTTGTGGAAGACCATTAAAACTGAGTGAAAACTTGGTCCGAAAGCATTAGCATTAAGGCATGAATGCTTTCTACCCAACCTTGCTTCCTTATTAGATCATCCAACTACACATGTAAACAATTAATCTCACTCCCTTACCCTAAAATTTGTACCTCTTCTAGTGTTCACATTTTACCATGCACCCAGTGGAGCAGGTTGACTTTGCTACTTTACTACTGCATCTCAATTCCAATCCATCAACAAGTTCTGTTGAATCTGTCCATCTCCACTGCCACCGTCCTAAAATAAGTTGATACTAGCTTGTGCCTGGAGAGTTATAATGCCACTTACGTGGTTTCCCAAATGCAATCTCCCTCTTCCTCCTTGTCTAAATGGTCGCCAGAGTTGTAATGCATAGCAGTCAAGTCACCGAACAATGGTTTCCTATTGTTCTCAAGATAAAGTCCTAAACCCTTAGCATGGCTTTCACGCCACTATGCAATCTGGGCCCTTTCAGTGTCTTGAGCTTCATCTCTTAACTATGCTCTTTCAGGAAACATGCCAGTTGCAGAGGCGTTTTTTTTTTTTTTTTTATGTCTTCTAAAATGCCAAGCTCTTTCTCCACTACACATGTTATTCCTTCTGTGTAGAAATACTGTACTCCATTCCTTAGCTGATTTCCTTTCCATCCGCAGATCTCTTCTTTTCCATATAGATACACACACACACACACACACACACACACACACACGTCAGCTTTCTTGAGATATAATTCACATGCCATACAATTCACCCATTTGAGGTATGTAATTAATTGGCTTTTCGCATATTCAAGAGTCGTGTAACCATAACCATAATCAATTTTATAACATTCTCATGACCTAGAAAGAAACACATAACCTGTTAGCAGTCACTCCCATTTTCTCCCAACTCTGGCCCTACAAACCACTAACTTAGCTACTTTCTGTCTGTACAGTTCTGCCATTTTTTCTTTTTTCTTTTTTCTTTTCTTTTTTTTTTTTTTTTGAGACGGAGTTTCACTCTTGTTACCCAGGCTGGAGTGCAATGGCGCAATCTTGGCTCACCGCAACCTCCGCCTCCTGGGTTCAGGCAATTCTCCTGCCTCAGCCTCCTGAGTAGCTGGGATTACAGGCACGCGCCACCATGCCCAGCTAATGTTTTGTATTTTTAGTAGAGACGGGGTTTCACCATGTTGACCAGGATGGTCTCCATCTCTTGACCTCGTGATCCACCCGCCTTGGCCTCCCAAAGTGCTGGGATTACAGGCTT